TTTCCTTTTTTTTTTTTTTTAACCAATAGCATTCTCAATATGCAAAATACAATATTATGTGAAATTGATGCAAAACATGTTCAACAATATTCACAGCAATACTGCTTATGATGGCCCAGTCAGTCATAGAATGAATTCAAAAATGATGGTTTATCCATGTGGTGTAATATACACCAAAGAAAATGGATGAACACAAATGCACACATCTGCCTGGGCAGATTTCACAAACACTAATTTGAGCAAAAAGAGCACACTATTTCATCTAAATAAAGTTCAAAACAGATGAACCCCTCTGTGTTGCTAGAAGACGAGGTGTTGGTTTCTTTTGGAGGAGATAATGGCCGTGGTGGGGAGCTAAGGAGTTTCTGGGGGTACTGGGAAGGATCTACCTCCCTATCAAGGGGCTGGTTGCATGGAGGTATTCATTTTGAGAAAAATTCATAAAGCTGCACACTAATGATCTGTTTCTATATGACATGACTATGGGGATTTAACAAACCATGAGTAAATATTAACACCAAGTGAGTGAACCTCTGGTAATATCATTGCATTACCTTCAGGGGCAAGATGGCACCCAGCACCCAGCACCCAGCTACAGCCTTCTCAAGACCTTGCCTGGACACTGGGCTATTCACGCACTGCTACGGAAGTCTCCGGGCCTTACCTATGTCTTCCTTGAGGTCAATTTCGGCTGTGGTTGGGTGGACAATGCCCTCCACTCTCATGGAGCCAATGTGGCTGATGTCACTCTGGGTCAGGGACAGCTGCATTAGGAAGAAAATAGGAAAATAGGAGAAACGTTAAATCCCACGGAAAATCCTCATCGCCTCTCTCAGTTATTCTGACCAATTGCCAACTTAAGTGTTGCATGTAGAGCAATGTCCTGTGTCCCAGTGCTTGGTTTCCAGTGGGTTCCTACATGGCTAGGAACATGCAACAAATCTATTTCCTCATTTTTTTTTTTTTTTGGCCAGTACTTGGGCTTGAACTTATGGCTTTGCATTCTCTCTTAGCGCTTTCACTCATGGCTGGTGCTCTACTATTTGGATCACACTTACACTTCCAGATTTTTGCTAGTTACTTGGAGATAGGAGTCTCACAGATTTTTCTAAGATCTTCAGATCTCTGCCTCCTGAGTAGCTAGGATTTCAGGCATGCACTACCAGTACCTGGCTTGCTATCTCTTTCTTTCCCTTGCAGCTAATGCCTTTAGTTCCCAAGCTGGTGGCCATGGTTTGGGGTGATGTACCCAAGTGGATCTGGGAGGGAGGGGAGCCTAGGACTTGGGGTTCTTAGGACAGGGACTCTTTCCCTGTCCCAGTGTTCTGGAGTAGTAGGGAACTTTGGGAACGGGTGCTGCAGCCAATGATCTTGTTGAAGGGAAGGAATGGGTTGACTCTAACTTGATGAGCTCTGATTGCCTTGCTATTTGGAGATCACAATCTTGGGGCTGTTCAAGGCAGAGCAGAATAAAGAGCATTTTTCTAGTGTCCCCCTGTGTGGAGGAGAACTTCAAGATTCCCTCAGCAAGTTTGAGAGAAAACTAATCATCAGACAAAAATCCCTCCTCTTTACTTCCCTGCCCCTTGATCCCAGAGGAGATGAATTAGGAACCTGCCACACTTGACTTCTTAGAACATGCACTTCACAGCAGCTAGAATGGGAAGTTCACTGCATGCACCTGCCAACATTCAGAGGTCTGACTCTCTGAATTTCTCTATGTGCAGATAAATTGTCTGCTCAGTAAACTTTATGCTGTGAGGATGAATTATTTACATGTCTGGCCAGGCTGCTTATTGTGTAGCTGGAGACTATTCAAATATACAATTATGTTTGCTTATGTTTTTTTTTAACTCCTGCAGCCCAGAAAGGCATGCACACTGAATTATTGGCAAGTAATTCATTTCTCACACCAAAGAGATACAGGAAACATATATTCTGTTTTCTTTTTCCGATGAATTGCATCAAATCATGAAAGCCAGGCTGTCTGAAGCAGTGAACTATGGAATTTTTTTGAGGGGATGGGGTGAGTGTATAAGTAATTGGGACTTGGAGATTTCCCAGCAAATTTGTTGTTGGTGTTCCTGGGGCTTGAAATTAGGGCCTGGGAGCTGACCCTGAGCTCTTTTACTCAAGGCTAGCACTCTACCACTCTACCACTTTGTGCCATACCACCACTTCGTTTTCTGGTAGTTAATTGTAGATGAGTTGCATGGGCTTTCCTGCTTGGGCTAGCTTTGAACCTCAATCCTCAGATCTCAGCTTCCTGAGTATATAGGATTACAGGTGTGGGCCACCAGCGCCAAGCTCAGCAAAACATTTAATGCTTATCCTGTCTACTGATAAGGCAGATCCCTCTGTGTTAATCTTTGGCTGACCAAGGTACGTTGATACTCTTCTTACCTTCTGTCCTAGAACAAGGCTCTTTGAAGACAGGATGGTAAATCCATCCCCTGGCCCATCTTCAGAGGTGGCATTTGAAGTCCCTTCTTTATCACTGTCCTTTGGTTTGGACTGTTGTAAAAATCAGAAAGGCAGATGAAAAGCAACCCAGAGAAAGCCCAGAGTGCCTGTGGAACTCCTTTTTTGGCTGTCTGGGACTTGTAGAAGGAAGGTGTTATATCCTGCTATGTTTTTGTTGTTTTGTTTACAGTGCTAGGGATCAAACCTGGACATTTGTACCTGCTAAGCACGGCATGTCCCCTCTACTCTTTGTAGAGGGTGAGGGAGAGTGGGGAAGGGGGGTAAGGAGGAGGAGAGAGGAGGGAGGGGGATATTTTCTCACAATAATGGAAAGTAGCCTAATATAGACAGTGAAAGTGATTTTAATCCAGCATGCTTTGGGTCTGGAAATCTCTAGTACACACTGTTTCTCTCTCTCTCCTGTAGCTCTAGTCTCATAGGTGAGGGATCTGGAGTCAGTCCTCATCACCTTTTACCACTTAGTCTCATTTTTTGTCTGGTGCTAGTACTGAGGCTTTAACTCCAGGCCTGGGCACTGTCTCTGAGCTTCCTTTGCTCAAGGCTAGTACTTTATCACTTGAGCTGCAGCGCCACTTCTGTGTTTTTTTGGGGAGTAGTTTATTGGACATAAGATTCGTACAGACTTTCTTGCCAGGGCTGGCTTTGAACTGTGATTCTCAGATCTCAGTCTCCTGAGTAGCTAAGATTACAGGTGTGAGCCACGGGTGCCTGGCTTTCTATTGGGTTTTAACAAGTGAATTCTGGGGAGATGCAATCAATGAGGCCGGGAAGGTGTGCAGACCTGCATGAAATGTGCTTCACTTACCTTCTTGGACGTCCGTGGTTTGGCAGCCTTGGATTTCTTGCCTCCCTTTTTGCCTGATGTGGCCTTCCTCCCTCTTTTCTCTGGGGGCGGGGAAAGGATAGTTTCTGACTTGCCTTTGGTCCCTCGTTTTTTGGCCAACAGTTCAGGGTGAATTCTGGGCAGGACACCTCCACTGGCGATGGTCACTCCTTTTAGCAGCTGGGGAGAGAAATACATGTTCTGGCAAAGAAGTTGCTAGCTCTGGATTTTGTTTTTCAGTGCCGAGGATCAAATCCAGCACCTTGTGCATGCTAGCAGGCACTCTACACTGAGCTTCCTTGCCAAGTTTTTGGCTTTTTGAGACAGGACCTCCAGGGCTAGTCTCAAAATCATGATCCTCCTGCCTCTCCTTCCCCAGTGCTGGGATTATAGTAGTATGCAGCCATGCCCAGCTCGCTCCTAGATTTGATTCAGTTCTAATTACTGGCAAAGCAAGGCTCGACTCTAGTCATTACTTTCCTCATAATACATAATTTAATTGGTTTTCCTGTCTTTTATTTGTTAGAACATCATCTCTCTGTAGGTATCAAAGCATGCTATGATCTCATACCAAAAAGCAAAACAAAGCAAAGGAAAATGAAAAGAATTAAAACTAGGGATGCTGCCCAGACATTGGAATTCCAGACAAAACAGAGATAAAGGACTTCACCCATGGGGAACACAGTTGGACAAAACTAAGTTCCAAGGTCAACATAGGGATGAGAGCAGAAAACACAGCAGTGCGCTGCACACTGCGGAGTACATGTCCTGTCAGGAAAAGATGTTTCATCATGCACCTCCCAACTGATATATATATATATAAAACACAGCGCCACTTCTGGTCTTCTAGTGGTTAATTGGAGATAAGAGTCTCAAAGACTTTCTTACCCAGGCTGGCTTTGAATTGCGATCCTCAGTAGCTAGGCTTATAGATTTGAGCCACTGGTGCCCGCTCTAAATTGATATGTTTAATATATATATTTGCAAATAATCCACTTGTATTGATACACTAATATCTTCTATATCTCCTAAAGCAGCACCAGGCCGAGTGGTTTCAGAATCTGACTCATATGTCAACTGTTGGCTAGGTCACCTGTGACCAGAGAAGCTCAGATATCTTGTATGCTATAAGAACCATACAAAAATAAGAATCTAGAGACCTTCACAGCAAATAGACAGCTACTGAATATCTATTGAATCTATTATGGCTTGTAGCCTGTATGTCTTTGCTTTTTACATTTTTCTAAGAATCAATTTTTATTACATTTTTGAAATTATCAGTCTTTGATGGATTGGCAATAAATTCACATTCTTTACCATAGTCTGAGAAGAATGTGGTTCAAAATAAATAGAAGGCAAGTGCAGTGGCTTACTCCTGTAATTCTAGTTATTCTGGAAATGAACATTGGGAAGACTTTGGTTTAAGGCTAGCTCAGGCAAAAAGCTGGCAAAAACCTCCATCTCAACTAATAAAAAGCTGGGCTTGGAAGCACATGCCTGTCATCCTGGCACATGTAGGAGGCACAAATATGACGATTGTGGTCTAGGTCAGCCTGAGGAAAAGGAGAAAACGTCTTTCAAAAATAACCAAAGCAGCTGGGTGCCTGTGACTCACGCCTGTAATCCTAGCTACTCAGGAGGCTGAGATCTGAGGATCGAGGTTCAAAGCCAGCCTGGACAAGGAAAGTCTGTGAGACTCTTATCTCCAATAAACCACTAGAAAACCGGAAGTGGCGCTGTGGCTCAAGGGGTAGAGTGCTCGTCTTGAGCTGAAGAGCGCAGGGACAGCGCCCAAGCCCAGAGTTCAAGCCCCACAATCAACCAAAAAAAAAAAAATAACCAAAGCAAACTGGGGGAGAGCGAAGGAAGGGGTGACATTGTCCAAAAGAGAAATGTTCACATTACCGGAATTGTGACATGGTAACCCCTCCGTACAACACCTTCATGATGACAATAAAATTATATTGTTAAAAATAGCCAAAGCAAAAAGGATTGGAAGCAAGGCTCACACACATTCAAGATCCTGAGTTCAAACCCCAGTAACCACCCCCCCAAAAAAAGAAATATAAACATTCTTTTTTTTTGGTGGGGGGGGTCCGGTTATGGGGCCTGAACTCTGGGCTGGGTGCTGTCCCTCAGCTCTTCAGCTCAAGGCTAGCACTCTACCACTTGAGCCACAGCGCCACTTCCGGCTTTTTTCTTTCTGCTTATGTGGTGCTGAGGAATCGAACCCAGGGCCTCAGGCATGCAAGGCAAGCACTCTACCACTGAGCCACTTTCCCAGCCCCGAAATATAAACATTCTTATACTATTTTCCCACTACCTGTGTATCCCAGGCTGGAGACTGGGTGTGGGGGCGGGGAGCATTCAGTTAATTTTGGAGAGAATTCCAAAATGTAAAGGGTCAGTGCCAATGAATAACTAAGGAAGAAGCCATCCATGAGGTTTGAAGAAACGGCAAGAATGAGGGTGTGCGTGTCTTTCAGCAGCATCGATCTGGTCTTTCATGAGGAAACAAGGTCTGGCAAGATCCAGAAGGCAAAGGAGGTGACCTGATTGTGACTCCGTATGACAGGATTTCAGGCTGTCAGGATTTCTTCTTCCCTTCCTGGTTTGCAGTTTTTATGTAGGTGGGACTAAGAACCACTAGGGGAGTGAGGGTGGCCAGCAGAGTCACCTGCAGCTGTGCCTGGCCAGCCTTTAACAGGTGCTCGGTGCTTCAGACATACCTGGTTGAGCTCTTCATCATTGGCAACAGCCAACAGGATGTGTCTTGGGGCTATCCGGGCCTTCTTGTTGTCCCTTGCAGCATTCCCAGCCAATTCTAGGATCTCCGCTGAAATTACAAAAGGACATTAACATTCATAGATTGGGAGCCGGCGGGGGGTGGG